GGGAGGGGAGAGAGCTCCTGCCTTTAGCGGCTGGACGGCCTGTTCCTCGCTCGGCGTCGTGGTTTGGGCATGACAGGACACTGAGGTAAAAGGCCTGGAAAGCACAGATACCTCCGAAGAAACGTAAAGCTAATTCCAAACAACCAGCAGGTTGCATGTTTTAATTTTTACGAAAAAAAAAAAAAATACTATGAGTTCCTGGATTAGAAAGTATGCTTGATAATTTTTTCGTGTTTGCTGTGTCTTCCAAAGGACTGTATAGCCTGTATCAGGAATAGTGTGGCCAGCAGGACTAGGGAAGTGATCGTCCCCCTGTACTCGGCACTGGTGATACCCCACCTTGAGTACTGTGTTAAGCTTTGGGCCCCTCATGACAAGAAGGACATTGAGGTGTTGGAGCATGTCCAGAGAAGGGCAACAAAGCTCGTGAGGGATCTGGAGGACAAGTCTTACGAGGAACAACTGAGGGAACTGGGGGTGTTTAGCCTGGAGGAGGCTGAGGGGAGACCTTATCACTCTCTACAACTACCTGAAAGGAGGATGTAGAGAGGTGGGAGCTGACCTCTTCTCCCTGGTGACAAGTGATGGGACGAGAGGAAATGGGTTCAAGTTATGTCAGGTGAGGTTTAGAGTGGATATTGGGAATTTTTTATTTTTTTCACTGAAAGGGTTATTAAACATTGGAATAGGCTGCCCAGGGAGGTAGTGGATTCGCCATCCCTGGAGGTGTTTAAAAAAAGGGTGGACATGGTACTTGGGAACATGGTTTAGAAGTGGTTTTGTCAGGGTAGGTTAAGGGTTGTACTTGATAATCTTAAAGGTCCCTTCCAACCTCAGCAATTCTATGATTCTATAGCACTGCAAAAGTAACCAGCCTCTTTCTGTTCTCTGCAGAGCTGCCATCTGATCACAGGATGCACCTTACGAAAACAGGCAGTGGAAGAGGAGGGTGTTTGTGCAGTGCAAACAGCTGGGAACAGGACTCCACTTGCCTCTGAATGCAAGAGGCTTATATACACACTGTGTCATAATGTATCTCTGGCTGTATCACAAGTACTACTCTTCAGGTTCTTGCCTGTGTCCTGTTTCTGTGTTCTAAACTGTGCCTTAGAGGTCACATAAGACACCTT